GCGCTGGCGCTCGCGATCCCGCTCGCCGGTCCGGCGCCCGCGCTTCGAGCGCAACCAGCGCCACGAGCGCCGCTTTCGGTCGCGCTCGCCGGACTGCTCCCGCGCCCCGCCGCTCTGGCGCCAGCGCTCGAGGGAGGCGGAGGAGATGGAGGATGCGTGGCTGTGGCACCGGCAGCGCTTCGAGCCGCGCTGGCGCTCGCGATCCCGCTCGCCGGTCCGGCGCCCGCGCTTCGAGCGCAACCAGCGCCACGAGCGCCGCTTTCGGTCGCGCTCGCCGGACCGCTCCCGCGCCCCGCCGCTCTGGCGCCAGCGCTCGCCGCCCCGTGGTCCGCGCTCGCCGCCTCCTCGCCACCATTCGCCGCCTCGCCCACCGCCGCTCTATTATCGCCACCACTCTCCGCCTCGCCACCGGCCGCCGCCTCGCCGCCGATCGCCGCCTCGCCGCCGCTAGCCTGCCTATTCGCCAAAATCGGCACGCCGCCACGCCGGCGGAATGGCTTCGCGCACGCCTCGCAGATTCGTGTTCCCGCCCGAGTCAGGCGCGGAATTCCCCGAGTCACTCGACCAGCGCTGTGGTGTGACTCGGGAGGAGGCGTCCTCTACGGCTCTAGCACGCACACAAGGCTCAAGGGGCCCAACCCGCAGCAGCCAGCACAGCCGTGGGGGACGGATCACAGCACAGATGAGTCAGGGAAGTAGACCCGAGAACACAGAGGCGTGTGTACACAGAACATCGGCTAGCGTCGGAGCATTTGGACGCGGCCGCTGTAATTTTTCAGTGTATGTAGCTCTTACGAACATACCCGAGGGTGAACTGCTGACAGGGTTTGCGATGAGGAGCGATCCGAACGTGGCATTCGGGTGATTAGATCACTACCGCCGTAACGCAAGAGCACTGCGACGGATCGGGCTCATGCTAGCATCCACCTCGCGGGCCGACGTTCTGGCCCAGCGAGGCTGCTGCGGAGCACTGGCGGGCCGACTTTCTGGCCCAGCGAGGCCGCTGCGGGACACACCGGCGGCTCCGTTCGCTCCTCAAGAAACTCGGTATTGACCGCGCAAGATATAAAGGGTGTGTCCTAAGGGCTCTGCTCGCAAGGCGCCCGCGTCGCAGACGCGGTACCATTGACAAATCTGCAATATACCCCCACACGAGCAAATAGCAAAATCCGAATACCGTGCACGAACTGGGCGATGTGGGACCCAAGCCTTCAGCTGGTGCCAAGACATCGTAAAATG